CAATGTCTGTTTTCTACTTCCCCTAGTTTGTTGCCTTGTTCACATTTCTATTTTTTATTCTTTCAAAGAACTGCTCCATCCAAGTCAGACAAAACTTTTCCACTTTACAGTGTTATAGTCAAGCTCCAAGCTTGCTCCCCCTCCCTCTCTCGTCCTCCACTCCTCCTCCCCCTTGAACTTCTATTTTTCATTCGCAGCCTAATCTTAGGGCCGTGCCCTCCTGCCGCCCACAGAAATATATATACATATATATAGTGAAAATCTATTTTCGAATGTCTGTCAGTCCAGTCTTAGCTTTGTTCTTTAACTGCCCTCCCACTCCCCCATCCTGCCCCGTCCCCTTTCAATCATCTCCAGCCCTCTGCTTCCGCAATGTTGTGCGCATTACAGAAAGTATTTTTCATTACATTCGCCGACAATTCAAGGCACAGACGCACTCCCGCTGCCGTCCCATTTAACGTCCTGCCCATTCTTCATTATCCCTAGCCGTCGTCGTGCTAACCGCTTCCATCTCCAGCTTCTGGCGTTCGCTTCTGACCAAAGTCGACTTAATTTATAATTACGATAATTTGCGTGCTACGTTTTCTTTTGTTGCTCCACAGATCTAGCGTCCACGCCCACCCAGCCCCTGGGCAAAACTTTTGTTGGTTAGTTGGCTGCTGACTTAGTTGTTGTCGCTCGCCGCCAGGGGGCGCTGATTGGTCACCGTCCGCAACGCTTCTGTTTCTCCTTTTGCGTCTGTTACTGCTCTGCTGATGACAGCAGTCGCGATTTGGCTGCCCACGGCTGCTGGCGCTGTAGTTGCTGCTGCTGTTCCTCCTCCTGTGTCTGCTGCTGCTCCTTCTATGTCTCCTTCTGTGCCTCCAGCGGCTGCCCATCAGCTTCTCTCTCTAAATTTTTTTGTATCTCTGCCGCTTCCTTCTGGCGTTGTCCTTGCGGCTTATCAATAATGTTGATTTCACTCTGTGTCGCATAATTGAATTCTGAAGTTGTTAACTCACAGCGCAACCAAATTTACGCGCAGCGCATTCCCTAAACATCCTGACCCCAACCCCATTCTCGATCCCCCACCCCGCCCCAATTTCCACTTTGGGGCCGCGTCGCTGATTGAAAATTTGCCAATTAGAAATAATGAAGCGTGTGACATTAAATGCAAGACAAGCAGCAAATCGGTCGAAGGCCTCTCTTGAGGCGCCGGGCGGGGCGTGGCTAGCGGTGGGAGTCACCGCCTGCTGCTAGATGGCGCCACTACTTATACGTAATATATGTACATACAGTTTTCACTTGCCCGCCTGTCGTAGCGATAACAAATTTTGCTTAGACGGAACTGGAAGCTCTTAAAATCTCATTGCCGCCTAACCAGTAGCTACACTGCCTCCACATCCTTCTCTTTCGAGAGGCTTCTCTTCGCCGGCAGTCGTTAGGCACGGATATCGAAAATTTTCATGTCTTCCTTTAGTTTGTCTTAGTCTTGGCTGCTTGTTCAATGCAGTAGCAGCAGCAGCAGCAGCAGCAGTCGCAGCAACTATCATTAGGCTGTTTGCCACCCAATACGCGCCCATCATTCAGCTACCCATTCCGCTGGGCTGTCGGAAATTTATAGTCCTGAGACGGTGGCCATCAGGGTCGTAGGTAAATGCGCATTAGCTGTGCTACGATACGCAGCAGCATCCAATCAACGCCTCACTCCTACCAGCAGTGCACGCCCCTGGCGCCCCCTTTGCACGTGATGCATTTTTTTCCACTCTCAACTTTGTTTGTTGCCTCGTGCCCGGACTGCATTTCAGCGCCGTAAGCAGGTGGGCGTGCACACTACTAGCTTACCTTCACACACACACACGGACCCCTTAATACATATATATTTCCTTTAAGTAGCTCATTATATTTTTTATTTTTTTATGGACGATTGCTAGCAACGTACATAAACCTCTTGCAGCTGGCTAAGCAGCCGCGTTGCTACCCAAAAAGCTTGTTTTAAATTGGAATTAAGCTAAATTATGTCTTTAAATAGATATTGGCAAAGTGCTGCTCCGGCTTGGCAACACGTTGAAAAACAAATAAAATATAAGTCAACAGCGAGAGCGCCTCCTGCAGGAGCTGGAGTCAGCTACGTTTAATGTGCCTATATGAAGCAACCAAATACAAGATGATATACCAAGTTTAACCTTATTTAAAAATCAATCATCAAATTCTTAGTTCCGAGCTGTTGTTTAACTGTACAACTTATAAGCACTGAACTGATTTCTACTTAATAGTTTGTCCTCTAGATTGACTCAAGGCTTATTCAGATTTACATATAAGCAAACATTCCAGCTAGATTTCACTCAGATATATATAGAAGGCAGAAGGAATTAAGGTACATCACATAATCTAGTCAAAGAGCTGAGCCGATCTAGCACCATTCCCACCTGTCCATATGTGCGAACATTCCGATTTCTTCAGCTACAAGAGAAGCTTTGACATTTCTCTGCTATCGATAAATATCGATAGCAATAGTTACGAGTAACCTTCCTACCAGCTGACTGCAGCTTGTTAATAATTACAGAGTAGTCTCGGAATATCAAGATTTGCTGGCAGCAGCGTTCGCTCTGAGTTTGGGTAGTCGTCGACATGATTCAATTGGAACCGTTCAAATTGATGAGCAAAATGAGATAATAGATTTATTTTGATCTTTAAATAGTGCTTGTGGGCTGTATACTGGGCCATTGCTCATGAAGCTTATAGAGGCTTTCATCTCGGTCTGCGTGCCGCCCCCTTCGTCTGCCTCCTTGGCCAGACCGCAGAGAATGGTACAGTCCGTGTTGCCTTTGGGGCAAAGTCGGGGCTGGAATTAAATTAGTAGCAACTTGTCTTCTTGCCATTCAGCAGTGGCAGCGGCAGCGGCAGCGGCAGAGGCAGCCCAATATCTAACCCAAACCAATTCTAACAACTCTTGTGTGTATTTACTAGGTATATACTACAGCATTCAGAGGCGTTGAGACGGGGCGTGTCTAAAGCATCGCTTGTGTTAAGCACATAATTACAATTCTGCTTTATATTTACGTGTATTTATATTACCTTTTCCTCTATAGCCATGACGCGCCATTGGTGCGAAAACTTATCACAGAAGTGTCAAGTCGAACTTTTGATACTCTGCGAGACTTAAACGATATTTTTGGGTGGATTCTGAAATATTTATAGCTCAACTATTAAACTACAATATACAACATTGCTCCTCAGACAGTTGCAGGCGTCTTCCGATGGCTACACACACACTTACATGACTCCCTTCCTACTGCATTATTTCGAAAAAGTATGACAGCTGTCTCTGTAGACAGACTTCATTCATTTCTAGTTGTGACTGTGCGTTGCAAGCTTGTTGCCTGTGTTATGCTGCCTCTGATAAAAGTTTAACGGCATTCAAGTCAGCACACACACACACAGACTCACACATACATATACCCATTCACACCCACACAGAGAGAGAGAGAGAGATACTAACTGGGCTCGTCGCCGTCGACATATTTCACGTTGATGTATGGTTTAATTACATTTGCGTGGCGGCAATGCGTATGGGAATGAGAATGAGTCTGAGAATGGGAATAGGAATGGGAATGGAAATGGGCATGGTAATGTGGCGGCTAGGGCAGAGTGACGGGTTAACGTATATCAAGTCAAGAACAGGGCACCTAACCCCAATTCCGACTGCGTTTATAATACACAGCGCAACAAAGGGGCGTCGGCATAGATGACGTGGGGAAGCTGCTGAGATGTCTCTCAGCGCTTTTGTTTAGCTGTCGTCGTTGCCATTACCGAGCGATGTCTCAACAGAAGCAGCAGCAGCAGCAGTAGCAACAACAACAACAACAACAACAAGCTGACATCATGATAGGCGACTGCCTCAAGCTTATAATTATCAAGCGGGTAAGCCGAACTCCCGCCACATCCTGCAAGCCCGCACTTTGTCCAGGCAGCTGCTTCTTTTATGACTTTTAACACGTCTGCCGAGTAAAGTTTGTCCCGAGAAGCTTTTTAGCGCGATATATTTTATTCCCTCTCCCTCTCTCTCTGTCTCTGTCTCTGTTTCTGTCTCTAGCTCGCTCTCTGTCTGTCGTGTCACCGCTAGTTGTGGGTTAAGTGGGTATATTAGGTTTGTGCGCCTCTAATTGATGTTAAGCATATAGTTGACGTGTGCCACTTGCGCCAAGTTTTAGTTGGCCAAGTCATCACATCCAATATACCCAATCTGCCGTAACCAGCTGGCAAAGATTGCGGTTGGCGTGCGGGATTTTTCATTACCAGCCAAACGATAATTTCAATTGCTGCACGCACCGAGCTCGGCAGCTCCGACAGCTCAGCAGCTTGGGAACTTTGGCCAAAAACTTTAGCTCATTAAAACGATGCCTCCAGGAGCCGACTGGCAATTGGTTTGGATTGCAAAGAAGCTGCTGATAAAGATTCTATAAAGCATGCCATAATAAGCGCAGCACACCTGAGACGCAACCAAAAGGTGTTAATTTTCGTTAAAAACTCTTTCGCCTGTCGGCACAACTCCCAATGGGAAAGTTTAAACTTACTTTAGCTAGCAAAAAGGTTAATGCCAGCTCTCACATGGCATTTCATGCATTTATCTAACAACAGCCAAGAGTATTCAAATTGCGCCCGCCACAGAGATATATTTATAACATTTTCTTCTACTGTTCCTCAAGCATTGTTAGCCAGACCGTTGACCGTCTCCGATGGAAGTTAGTCATAGTTCGCAGTTGGATTATCAAAGTTTGACAAGGATTTTACTATTAGATTCCTTGAAATATTATGTAGACAATTCGCAGCTTTAGAGCTATATTCAATGAGCTTTGCAGGCGGTCAATAGTGGTTGATCTTAGCCATTGATGGAACAATTAATTATAAATTATAATGAATTTATCGATTATGTCGACTAGCTTCGACAGCAAGAATGTTGCCTTATTTCTCATTAATTTTGACATTCAATAATTTCTATTCTCATCACTTTCTTACAGCGCTCCAAACTTGTTTTCAATTCGAATGTGCAAATTGCAGGATGCCAGGATTTGGATGCTAAATTACGTTTAAGGTAAGTTGATATGGTGGTTGCACATATTTTTGACAAGATGCTAACACGAGGTTAAATAAAATACATATATAAATATACATGTGTTTTAACATGAACTTGATCTGTTGAAGATTTCTTTTCTTTTCTGCTCGTTGCTCTCTTAACTCTTTGTCAGTTTTAACATACTCTAACATAGCCTTCACTAATGTTAAAAGTTTTCATAGCAATTTTTATTTAAGTTGCTTTAAAGTTTTAACATTGAGTTAACAGGAGGTTAAATAATATATATTGTAAATGGCTCTCAATTAACATGAGATCACATTTAACCACTTTCGTCCTTTAGTTTTCCCATTCTCTGACAAGACAATATACAAGTCATTATCAGTTTAAAATTGGCTTAACATGAACTTGATCTGTAGATGATTTGCGTTCTGTTCATTTCGTTGTTTCATTAACTCTTTGTTCGCTTTAATTTACTTTAACTTAATCTTTGTTAACGTTAGACGTTTTCAGAGCATCTTTCATTTAAGTTTTTACATTAAGTTAACAAGAGGTTAAGCAATATATATTGTCAATGGCTCTCAATTAACATGAGTGCACATTTAACCACTTTCGTCATTTTATTTTCGCATTCTCAGTTGCCTTTTGTATTCTTCTTTGCTCCTTTAATTCTTCCGTCAACATCTGATGCAGACTTTCGCTTAGCATTCGAGACAAATTTAATATATTTTTTAATTCCATTTCGCCTAAGTTGCTTTAGAAGTTTTAACGTTGAGTCAACAAGAGGTTAAATAACATGCATTATAAATGTATTTCAATTAACGTGACCCTTAGCAAGAACATGACCATGAGAGAGGTTTCAACTACTTTCGTCATTCTCGCTCCCTCAACTCTGCTGTCAGCTTTTAATGTGGGCTTAGCCCTCGGGATATTATGCCCAAATATATCTTCAATTTACATTCCGTTCCAGTTGCTTTGAAGTTTGAAGTTTGAAGTTTCAGCATTTGATTTGCGTAACATACATTAAACATGTCTTTCAATTAACATGAGTCCTAACACGACTAGCTCCACGCAACTACTTTTGTCATTCCGTTGGCCCATTGCCAGTCGCCTTTCCATTTTGTCTTTGCTCCCTTAACTCTTTTGTCAACATTTAATGTCGACTTTAACTTTGCCTTCGGGATACAAATTGTATATATTTTCTTTTCCAAATGAAATTGCGTTAAAGTCGCTTTGATGCTTTAACATTAGGTCGGCAAGATGTTAGATATTCTACATTATAAATGTCTGTCAATTAGCATGAGCTTCAACAGGAAGCTGACCATTTGAGAGCATTAAACTACTTTTGTCATTCGATAGCCACTTTCTCTGTTGGGCTCAATTTATCTCTGTGCTGCCTTAATTATTCAGACAACATCTAATGTGTACTTTAACTAAGCTTCAGTTCCACTCGGCTTTGGTCGCCTAGAAATCGCGATTATCCAACTGCTTGCCACCAATTACCTACCGTTCATTAAGGCTAACCTCAATTTGACCACACTTCAGCTTCAGTCAAGCATTGCACAGCACACACACACACACAAGCACACACACATTCAATTGCAGCACTTTCAAGTTTCGCAATATCCAACTCGACCGCATGTCCTTTTCACAGTTTTCCTATTTCCAGTGCGTTTCCATTACGCGCTTTGCTTGCCTCATTAATGACCGTCTCCGTCTCCATTTCCTTGCCACACTCTGCCTTGCTTGACTTTTTACCACTTTTCACTGCTTCATGTTGTTGTTGTTGGGTTCGCTTTTCAGCACATTTCATTTATTTATGAGTAACTTGACTTTAATTAATGTATTTATCGCTCCAATAAGTCGTACATAACTTTCAGATAGTCGTCTCATTCGCCGCCTGCCCAAGCTGCAAACAAAAAGTGCGCTTAAGTCGTGGGCATTATTACTTATAGCCGAGGCAATGCGGCATATATATATGTCTATATATAAATAGTAACTTTAGGAATTTGATTCGTTGTTTACCCTATATAATTTCAGTTTATTAAAATTGCTTTTTAACTGAAACGTATTTGATATATGTAAATGTTTGGCTAGAGATTAGGACGGCAATTGAATGGATAATGTCTTATAAATAAACCGTATCAAAATCTAGTTGACATAAGCTGGTTAGGGTATTTGAAGTTCGTCATTCCACTCTGCGCTCCGCTCGCAATAACAAGCTTAACGCACCGGCTCACGAGTTGTTTTCGCTCTTTTGTATTTCGCTTTATTTTTGGGGCTTGTGGGCGTGGCCTGGGCAGGCAAACTTTTGTCAACCATCTGTCTGTCCCAGTGTCTATTTGTCATTCGGCCTGCCTGTGTGCGTGTGTCTGTGTCTCTGTCCGTTTGGCCGGTCATTTGCTTTTAAGTTTTTGGCTCATTAGAAAATCTTTGTAATTCCCGTTCGCATTGTGTTGACGCGAAGTCGTTGCGCGGACAAACTTTCAGCTTAACTCCAGCTCCAGCTGCAGCTCTCTACTTTAAATTATATTATTATTTGTCGGTGTCAGTTACTTTGGCTTTTCGCATGTCCTTCAACTGTTGCCCATACTGTCAGCCCCAACTGCTGCTTCTCCGTTGCTTGGAAAGGGGAAGCGGCCCCAACCTTCAGTCAATTAGATACTGCAGATACCTGCCCCGTTTACCAAGTAACTGAAGCAGTTGCTCCTCGATTCCCTGCTCCAGCTCCTTGTCATCTCGTTGGCTCGTAAAATTATGCGCACTTTACATTTTGCGGCTTTCGGGCTCCAACAATTGCGGAGCAGACAAACTTTTGGATGATTATTTACTTAGTTCTCTGAACGTGAATTTAACGAAATCATTTTGTATCTTAAGCAGAAATGAATTACTTAAGTACAGGGACAACAGAAATAACAATAACAACAACAACAACAGCAACTGAGACAAAGACAACAAGCTCTTAAGCTAAACCAGATGAAGCTGCCAACGTATTTGGGAGTTGGCAGTCGGAATTGTTTGTGGCCAGGCTGGAAATTGCAGAAGTTGCCAGCGAACAATTGAAACAATAACACAGATAAGAAGCAGAAGCGCAGGCCGAGACAGCAGGAACAGCAGGAACAGCAGGAACAGCAGGAGGCCACCTCCTTGAATCCTTGAGGTGTGCTGCGAAAGGGGGCGTGCTTGGTAGCCAACACGCTGCCGCCCATAATAGAAAAGCGATAAGCGTTGCTGTGCCTCAATTCCACGGAGAGTCATTCAAAAAGGTCACAGGCAGACTGCCAATTGAGACAGGGAGAGAGCGCCAGAGCGAGAGAGGGCAAGAGCAAGAAAGGGAATATGGATTACGTACAATTGAAGGTCAAGTTTAGCTCAAGAAATGGCTAAAAAAGCACCAAAATGGCCCCAAAAGAAGCAGAAACTGCATATAAAATAAGGAAACGGACTCGCCTCGCTAAGCACAGCGACAGAAAGGGAACAACAGGCTCAGGCGCAGGGGCAGGCAGCGCTGCGTGCAACTGCTACGAGTGGAAAGTTGGTCGAAAGCTGACTATCGTGAAAGCAGCAGCGGTCACATTAATATGATTAAAGGCAGCTCATAATTGTGGCTCAATGCGTAACGAGAGGTGGAGCCAAAGAGAGTGAGGGGGGGGAGAGTGGGAGAGTGGGAGAGAGGGATTGGGTAGCTGGTTCTGGTGCTCAGCTTTTGGCCATTAGAAGTTGGCCGCGTGTGCGTCGATGCGATAACTGAGCAAGGCAAAAATGTCAGGTTGTGCCCATAATAGGTAAATGGAATTGGGATCGAGAGAACAGCCGAGGCGCAGCCTCCGAGAACAAAAGAATAGCAAACGGGGTTAATGAGAACCTGCTGAATAGACAATGAGTTTATATTGCATCAAATGAAACACACAAAACAAACAGCGAAAAAAACTTTTTAAAATCAAAGAAACGGCAAAAAAAGAAACCAAATAAAAGCCGAATCAATAAAAATGTAGATAAAATGGAAATCGAAAACATTCAAATAGTGTAATCAAGTTGGGCCGATGAACTACATTAATGTGCATGGAAATGTCCCAGAGGGCACTAACTGTACATTCACATAGACAATGGCGCTGTTAGCGTGTGCTCACTGTATGAAATATAATTTCGTGGGCATGGCCCAGGCTGTTTATCCTCTTCGAATGTTTTCAGCAACAATTTCGCTTTTGATTGTGAATGGATGGAAGGTGAAGAACCCGACCACACACAGACAGACAGACAGACGTACATACGTACATACATATACTGTGCCCATTATGTTAGCACCTTTAACGTGTGTTTACTGTATTGTTTTGCGACGCATTGGCGTTGCGGATCATGCTGGCTCGCTGATTCGTTTTGTGGCATGCTCCTGGGCGTAATGTACTCCATAAAGCATTATCCATTATATATTATCCGTTATCCGTTATCCGCTTGCCCAAATTGACTGGGTACGTTCTGGCATAAAAGCTGCGCTTATTTCACTTTTCCACTTGACTACCAGTGCACACGACTGCGAGAAAGACAGAGACAGTGAGAGAGGGAGACAGCTGAGAAAAAGTGTGAGGGAGAGAGCGAGAGAGGGCGTGTGTGCGAGTGAGATAGTAGCAGCGGGAGCAAATTCACATACCAAGCCAGTCGAAAATCCCACCATATAAGTTTATACAAATGACATCCGGCACACACACACACACACACGCACACACACACACTTATACATATATATATACGTATATGTGTCCTCATATGTAGAGAAAATCGTTCATTGTTGAATGATGTATGTAGGGGCGCCTTGCAGCTGCTTCAGCTTATGTCTAAAGCGGACCACACACATGTGCACACACACACACACACACACTCACACACACATTTAGCATTCGTATGCGCACATGTACCGCAAATGTTGTATGGCCGCTGCAGACGAGGTGTAAAATCGTGTTTCAGCATCCAACAGGCAACCAGGTCGACGCCCACACACACACACCACAGCTGCCGCACACCTG